TGTGTGCCACAGCTACATACGAAGGACACAGCTGAGGTGCAAGGAAGGGAAAGGGAGGATTTGCTCATCTGGTGGATCATGACCTCCCACAAAGCACAGCTGAGTCATGCAAGTACCACTGCCCCACCTTTGCCAGGGACCAGGTTATGCTGAGCCAGGCACTTGCCCTGGGCCATTCACAGGGCTGTAAAGGGGAAGGTCTGGATTTATCATGCACAACAGGGGCTTTGACTGCAACAAGGAAAGCTCAAAAGCCAGTCTACCCTGTATGACAGCATGTACATTTCTTCAAGGTCTTCCAACCTTCTCAAATTGCTTTTATTCAAAACAAAGTTCAGAAAGTCTGCCACCTGCAAAATAGCTCGAGGCTCACTCTTTATTTCAAGGGTGACCAGGGAGCAGCACAAGGAGCTAAGAGTCCTGCAGCTGTTGGAAGATGACCACTGAGTTCTATAGCTTGACCTGCACCTCGGAAACAGCTTTTCTGCCAGCCATGCCCACCAGTGGACTCCTAAACTCAGAGGGGGAAAGAAATAAGTTAAATAAGTTAATCAGCTGTGTTTACAAAAAACAACCCATGTTATCAACAGGAACAAAAGGCTCCTGGGTAGGGAAGACACAACAGTGAGGACTGACTGTGCTCAGGTACACTCAGCAGCAGTCCTTGGTATCAAAATGCCAAGCTGTTCTCTGAGAAAGGAGCTACATCACACCTTCACAGTTATTTATGGACAGAAATGCTCAGAAACCCAATCCCTCGAGTCCAGCGCAGGAATACTCCCTGGCTTCTCCCCCTTTCTAGCTACCAAAATTCAGCACTAGCAACAGTCACATCGCATAATCCAAAAAGTCAAGTTAACATCTTAATTTAGTCAATTTTACACCTTTGGTACTAAGCTTTGCAAAGCAGCTGAGCCCACTGTGGTTCATTTAAAAACAGGGACACAGCCCTGGGTCTGTTCTGAAAGGCTTCATTAACGCAGCTGGGAAGGACGAAGGACCTGCGTCCCAGCACAACCTTCAATCTCAATTCTTCACAGACAGACCCGGTACCGCCCTCCCCCCTTCCTGCTTAGCCCTGGCTAACGAGGATTACATTAAGAGCCATTTCCACATTAGAACACACCACGGACACAGTCCTTCCACTCAGGCTCTATTAGGAGGGTGGGCACTTCCTCTGTGTCATCCCTCGCCGCATCTTTCCAGAGGCATTAGTGCTCGGAGCAGACAGCCCTTCCTCCCAGCCCACTTTTCCTTTTTGTCTGGAGCCTGCCCTGCTCACAAACGTGTATTATGACATCAAGCTGATATGAAATCATGATGATTTCACTGCAATTAAGTCAGGAGCAGATGGGGCTGACAGAGCTGGCTAAGCAACAAATCTTCTAAATTGGAGAACTCTGTCAAGAGAAATTAAAGCCTTATGCAAAAAGCCAACTCGGGATCACAGAAAAAATCCAGATGGAAAGGACTGCAGGGAAGCAACCAGCCCAAGCTCCTGCTCCTACAACTGAAGCAACTCCACCTCTGCCAACAGTCCATTGCAGGAAAAATCACAGCACAAAGCACCAAGTTCCCAACAAGTAACACACATGAAAAAGCCAACAGACAGGAGAGGCACAACACTGCAAGAGCAGAGCAAGGCAACAGTTAAGCTTGACAAATAACACCCAGACAGACAGAATTCCATAGAAATTAGCCAAACACCCCCCCACACCAAACACCCACCACCACCACCACCAAAACTTAGGGTGGCACACGCTGGACAGACTTGAGACCTACCAAAAACATATCTAGTGTTTTCAACAGCCAGGGCATGAGTTTGTCACTTGTTACCAACAGCACACAGAACAGCAGGCAAGGCAGAGAGTGCCATTACTAATAACTGAGACCCAGAGCAACCTGTTCTTTTCAGGGCCTTTATAGGAGAAGAAAACAAGGCTCTCAATTGCTTCTAACAAGGAATGGCTTAAATAGGTTAAAAATAATGAAACGCTGCACATGGGCACTCCGTGCTCCCAATTAAGCAATCCTTTAAAAAGTGGCCTTAGGAAGCCTCTCAGAGTTGGTATAAGGAGGTTAATAAATTGCTTTGAAACCCTGTATGCAGCTTAGTGAGATGACTCAGAACCTGTTGTCACAGCCTAATGTCATTACCCAAATTCTGGCACTTTCCAGGGAGCACGAGGACGCAGTTCTTTGCTTTACAGCCTCTGTTCCAACGATAATTCCTTGTAAAGGGCCTGTGACTGCTTGCAGAAGTTTTCCACTTTGCAGGTAAACCTCCTAACACCAAACCTTTGCAGAGCTGCGACCAGGAGTCAAGATCCACATAGTTTTTAATGCTTTCAGGTTGACGTCTTTGTGACAAACCAGAGAACACACAGCAAATGGGTGTTTGGTACCACATCGTCTCGTTCAGGAAGGTGGGCATCTCATTCACCACTCACAATGTCTGGCACAGCCTGTTGCTGCAAAACACAACAGCTGACACTAAGCCCACACTTCTGTGCAGAAGGAAACTCTCCTAACATCTGAAAGGCAGACTGGACTTCACACTCCTCCCACAGGACTTGCAGCGCCAAGAACTACAAACCAAGGCATTTTGACACCCCAAGTGGACTGAATAATCTTGCTTACAGAGCTCATCAAGGGGAGTTTTGTTTCTAAAACCCTCCTCGGAGTCGTGAGCAAATTTAGCGGACAGAGAAAATTATTTATTCTCCTGAAACCAAACGATTTTCTCCAACTTTTAAGTATCTCATGTCAAAGCAAGAAAAGCAATGCCAAAACAATTCCAAGCAGCCACTCTGCTGCCAAGAAGGCATTTCATTGAAGCTTCTTCCCCTCCTGCCAAGGCGTGTTGTCAGACATGTTGCCTAGACAGCAGCAATCACGGATAAGGACATCACAGAGTACTCCAGATACCAGTTCTTAGAAACATACCAGTTGTTATAGGAGGCATTGCTTGAAAACCATCCTTATTTGGATGGGGTTGTACTCAGCCTAGAAAATCATCCTAGCCAGGGGAACAAGCTACATTTCTTCTTCCACCTTCCAGGTAACACAGAGCCCACTGTGCCTCCGAAGTTTCCAAGTGTGCAGAGATATCTCTGAAGCCCAGTAGACTCTCTGCCTCCCTCTACTCTCAGATTATCTATACAAACATTTATTAGCACATAATGTTCTCCACCTAAAGTTTCACATCTCAGGGCACCTCCTTCTCCTAAAGGAAGCACACAGTGACCACAGGGAACCTTGATCCAGATCATCACTCCGGGATGGCTGAGAGTGCATGGTGTGTTAAGATCCTGAAGAAATGGTTTCAAAAATGAAAGAAAGACCTTATCAAACACTAAAAATATGAACTGTGAGCAGGAACTCTGCTACATGCGTGAAAACTGTCTAAAAAGCAAAATATACAAACAACATTTACACAATAGGCGTCTGGCAGCATCATTTTCAGACATTTTTTTTAATTTATTCTGACATGCTATAAAGGAATAAATTACACTGTTAAAGAATTACCAGCAATAAAAGTATTTCTTTCTTTCAGCTGGGCTAGAATAGGAGTGAGAAGGAAGACAGCCTGGGGCAGTAACCAATGTGAACTCTGCATGGTGCGAGGCTGCCCCCAAGAACAAGAGTAAATCTGGTCATATCCACTTCACAAGAACTTGAAAGAAAATGCCTTGGTTTAAAACCATCCAAATTTTCAAACCATTCAAATTTTTCTCAAAACTAGCAATCACAAGTCAGTCCAGCCGATGCACGACACGGCGATGCTCGGAGGCTGCCAATCCCGGGTCTGCAAAAGATGCCACTTCATTTTAAAAAAAATCCAATCTTAGAATAGAGGGCTGGTCTCAAACAACAAGTTATAAAAATGCAAGACTGCCCCTTCCCCCTCAAGGAAAAAATACAAAATTTATTTAAAAACAAAATGAGGAAGAGTTACAACACTAAATCTAAAATGATTTAGAAAGAAATATGACTTCTTTTGCTTAACAAATGGCCTCAAAACTTGGTTTAAAAACAGGGTAATGTAAATTTCTTAAACTGAATTAACAAGGCAAATTAAAAAAATTTCATTTCCTTACAGAAACAGTTTTTTAGTTTTTAATGAACTTGTAAACAAAAAAGCTCCCGCTTCAAAATAAAAACAAAATCCCAGATCATATAGATGTTTACAGTGATTACATTTATCTAAGCAACTTACATACAGGTTCAGTTGTAAGATGTTAACTAAATTTCGTGACAAATATGCTGTTTTTCCTTTTACCAAGAACATTATAGAGTTAATGCAGAGTCCTAAAGATTATCTAGTAGTCGCTAAGTTTCTCTTAAGTCTTCACTTTAGATGCTGTTATTTCTAGCACAGGTAAGCAGGCAGAGTCTTTCATATGCTTAAAAACTGGAATCTTTGGTTACTACCATGTCAGCTGGCTTGGTATGTTGCACATAGAAGCCAACAACTTTAAGAATGTTTTAAGTGTACAACTTTCAAAACCCAGGGAGGAATAACCAGAAAAGAGTGCACAATTGTGAGCATTTACAATTATCACAACTGTTGCCGAAGACTGTTCATGCCATTCTTCCAAAACAATGAGATCTCATAAGCAGTGTAGTTCAAAGTAAAAAGGTAACAAAAATTGGCATATGCACAATTTTCTCCACTTGTGTGTCAACCATTAGTTAACTTTTCCACTTGAAAAAAATGCAATAGAAAACTGGACACCATGTTTCACTATCTCAGTAATATTCACAATTACAGCTGCTACAACTCAAAGTGCAGCATCACTGACACTGCCCAGAGCCAGTTTATACTGATATTAAGTTCTTTACACCAAGTAAATGGTTGCCCACAGCCACTGGCAAGTGTACGTATGAACTAAAATTTCTAGGATTTGGGGAGTGACAAGTCCTGCTCCAATCTGCTCTGCTTTGTCCCATCCTCGCCATGCTCAGAAACCTGCAAGATAAAGACAAGGGCAACTTACTGATACGGGATGAAAACGAGAAACAGCCTTCACAGCAGGAGAACTAAACATCAGTTATGGTCATTCAAAGGGGAAAATGCTGCTCCATCTTGGAATTGCAGAGTTCCTGGCGTCCATTTCCGAAGGTAATGATGTTTAACCAACACCCTTTAGTTCAAACAAGCACCTCTCGCTCACACCTACTGCTGGCACTGGAAAACAGGCTTATGCACCAGCTGGATGCCACATTCCTCAAGCGGGAATTCAGACCAACAGTTTGAAAACAAGACGTGTTATTGCCACTAGGAAACAGGATGTAATTTCATAGGATTGTTTTCTACTTGTCTGCAGTGTCTCATGTTTATATCCCTGAATGTCAAACTGTCATCTGACTGCAGTGTGCTCTTCGGAGACACAGCACGGCACTGTCACACGGACAGAAGGGAGAGGCATGGGGATGACTTACCTTACAGTAACTGGTGTCACCACATGCCCACATGCACCATTCTCTGGGTAGATGAAACAGAAGCCAGAACCTGTGACAGTGACCAGGGACCCAGCACACCTCTGTCCTTGGAAGGACATGTGAAAACTCACATGACAGGGTAGGTGGGGCATCAAGAACAATTCTCTTAATGTTCAGCACTCCAAATGACAAATTCGAGACACTGTGGGATACGGAGAATGAAGGAATACACACAGATCTCCAAGAACCAGTTACTGCAAGCTAAGCCAGTCTTCCCTTCGTGCTCATTCCTGGTGACTCAGGTGGCAGCACTGTGCTTTACAGAGGTAACAGGAGTCTCAACTGAAGATCACTTTGCCAAGCGAGTTTCCGTTCTGGATGCCCTCCAAAAAGGATGGTCTGTCCACGGATGAATTCAGCTGAGCAACAGCTCTTGAGTTTTTGCAACAGAAATCTCTTCACAGTGAAATACAGACAAAGCTGACCTCAGCTATAGCTTGTGCTGTCATCCAGAGAGAAGCAAGTGCAAACAAGTCTTAATAGCCTGACATTCTATCCCAAATGTATCTGGACAGCACTCAGAAAACAGCTTTAACTCTTCCAGAACAGGCTACAGGTCATTTAGAAGAGGTTCAACAGCTTTGTTTGAATCTTAATGCACTGAAGGACAATTCTCTTGATCCAGCAGTAGTCATAGAAAAAAAAAAAATCCTGCACCAGAATTAAGACAGCCATTCCCATTTGACTGCAAATTCACACAGAAACCCCAGAGATTCCTTAGTTCCCTAACCCTTACTCAATGAATACAACCAAGAGTTACGCTGTTTTTCCATTTAGAGTGCTCAGCAGTGAACACTGATTCATCATTTGAACCACTTTCTCCATCCAAGCAGCCAAAACTAAGTCAACAAAGGAGGAGTGTGGCAAGAAACAGATCAACTCACTGCTTTAGAAACCTGCACGTTTCAAATGAAAAATGGGACCCTGAACCCAAAGGACAAAGGATGTGCTAACAAACTATATGCTGCTATTTGTTAGAATACCTCAAATCCAAGGTATTACAGGCAAGAGAACATCCATCTACAGCTAGAGAAGGTAACAGGGAACTGGAATCAACTCACAACATCCCTTCCAAGTCCTGTTAAGACACAGCCCAACCACAGCTGTCATATGAAATAGAGACACTCATGGAGCACATGCATCACTGCTGGTATGAAGAGCGTGCTGAAGAGTGTTGGCATCTCTTTAACAGATCTTCACTACACACAAGGCCAGCTCAAACCTGCACATTCATCACTCCTTGTCCCTCTCTGGGCTGTTACCCAAAACTTTGATAACCTCTGTGCTACGTGAGGGATACTCAAATTGCCTTATTACCATCAGAGCTGCAGATCTGATCGATGGGGAAAAGCAACTGTCCTGTCATACCCTAACAAGCTCCTCAACTTGAAGCTCTCAAGCTCTGTCTATTCTGTTTCTCTAGACAAGCAGTGCAGTGAAAAATCCTGCCACGACCACGGGCATCCAGCGAATGTTAATGACGGGCTCATAGAACTCTCCACTGACAAGAAATAAAAACACCTCTGACAATGGAACTGGGAGACTTTATCCTGCAGATTGACTGCCTGAGTCAGTTTTATGATTGAAGAAAGCTGACTGTGAGCACTGCTACAAATCACACCTGAACAACGCTGTCAAGAGAGCAAGGGCCAAACTTCTTTGAGTCAGCAAAGAAGCTGAGCCTATTCAAACAGTTCACCTCTCCCAAGTTCAAAACCAGCTGATCTTGCTCTTATACAGAAGACATGGCACAGAGTTCCAGAGAGGGACAGGGAAAAAAATAGAAGAGAAAAATGCCATGGACAGAACAGGTTACTCTGGAACCAGACAGAATATTCATCCTGAATAACCTACAGGACTCAAATTATTTAACATGGATCTAGTTAAGGAAGCCAGGAGTACCTGCAAATGAGTAAACATCTGGAGATTGTCTGCTCACCATTCCCAGATGCACATCTTGAATAGTACTTGCACTTTATAAAGAAATGCATCTGTAAATTGCTATTTCTAGGACTCTTGTTGAACTGGATTTGGTTATTAGAGGGGTAGAATCTGACACCATGAAGCCCTTTAAGCCATTTCCACGCAGGCTTTGCTACAGCAACAACTAAAACAGAATTTAACTGAACTCTGGAAAATAACCAGGTATTTCATTAATCTCCAATGTGATAGCAACACAAAAGCCATGCAGATTCCTCTGTAAACTTAGCTTCTTTTGGGTTCAAAACAGTCTTCTTTAATAGACAACATTCCACACAAAATGGCACGTAGGATTTTAGAAATCTGGAATCTTTGATGAAGAGATTAAGCATCTGAAGCCTTCAGATGTTTGCCAAGCAAAACTTTAATGCTTTGCTGACATTACAGTTTGATTGATTCGAAGGTCACAAGCCTTTCTTTAGGATGGGGAGGAAAAAAAGGAGAAACACCCTTAAAAGGCTGCTACTCCATGCAAGAGCCAATGAAATTCTGCTAAAAACCCAGGAACTTCGCTGTAGCTACAGCAATGGGTCTCGTTCCCAAAGGACAGTGGGATAAGGAATGTCCATGAGGAAACAGAAAAGGTCTCTAAGGCTCCAATGCAAGGCAGCTTCCCTGTTCCTCCTGTCTGTCAGCTCAGCTTCGCACTCTGGCACCAAAGCACCACTACAAGGCGGAGGCAGATAATCATTTTAATGACCTTGCACTTACACACAGCACTTGGTCAGAGACAGCCTGAGCCAGGAGAGCAGCACATGAAACCTCAGAATACGCGAGCGAAACAGTATTTCACGAGGGCCCAACTTCATTTTCAGGGCAGCTTCCGCTTACAGATTATCACCTCCTGCAAGCCCTTCACTTTAAGCTCGAGTTGTTGTGAAGAATGTGCATTTTTTCTCAGATTATCTTCTGCTCTAACAGCCAACCTCTCCACACCCAAATTGGGCTGTGTTCTGGACTTCAGTCAGAGCTTCTGTATTGCAGCAAGCAACCTAAGCCCAGATGCTTAATCACCCAGTCTGCTACATCCTGGTGTTTCAGCTGAAGGAACTGGTTTACAGCCTTCAGTGCTGGAACATCTGTCAGCTGCAGCCAAACAACCTGGACTCTTTATGCTGAAAGTCTGACATTTAATGCAGCCCATGAAATTTTTTTTATTTTTTTTTTGACCTCGGGAAGAGCAGTAGGTATTTTACTACTTCATTTTTTTCTGGATGAAGCGTTACATTTTTGGATAGCTATTTTGACTAAAGACACCTGGTAAGGTTTGAATGCTGCCACGATACACGAAAAACAATGTTTTGATACGTTTATTGTAAACACTCCTGTGTTTCTTTGACTTCCAAGTCTGTCATGTTAGCTGAATATATAATTTTATATATATAAATATGATAGACAAGATGTACTGAAGAGCAGCAAGCACTAGCAATACCTCAGTATAGAACTTGGACCTTGCTTTTCTAGTCTCACTCGTACAATCTCGTTAGCTTTAATTTTATCCACAGCTCAGCTTGAGGAATTGGTTTCATTATAAGACTGTAGCAGTCACTAGCTGTGGCAGTTTCATCCCAGTGACTTACCAGCACTAGCAGATTTACATCACAAAAAAAAAGTATTTTAAAAGCTTCCAGATCATGTGGAAAAAAATTCTATGTGCCTTTTCAGAACTCAGTTTTCAGTTATTACACAATTACATCCTGAACATGTCACAACATTTCCCTTTGAAACCATAACCTAGAAGCATTTCAAATCATCAAGAAACCTGAAGCCCCAACCCAGAGCACCCAAATACCTCAGAAAATTGTGACTTGGCAGTCCACAGCAGTTTGGGGTTACTGCTTGATTTAGGCAAGACATTTTGAGCTCACTGGTCCCTGCTTTTAACTCTGGACCAAATGTCTCAATGTAAACCCACTGGAGGAAGCCAGATCACTCACAATTTTCTGTTTCCCATGTTTGATGCATACAGAACAGAAGCAAACCCACAGCACTATACCAGCTGCCACAGAGCAGAACCCAAAGTCTCTAGATCCTTGCCTAGTTAATGAGAATTATCCCTTAAGAAGTGTTAGGTCTAGGATTTTGGATTGCATTATATATTTATATATATATAAATATATATATATGCATATATAAATAAAAATAAATTAAAATGTCACATTCCCAACACCAAGTCAGTTTCTTGTTTTTGGAAAGTGGTTAATGCGGGAGCAAAAGATGCAGTGGTTAAAATGACCCAACATCCCCAGAAGAAATGATATGAATAACAAGGACATTTTGGTATAAAGTTAGTAGTCAAATTCTCCAAGGACGTCTTTTGGTTTTGTTTTTTAATTTAACAGCCAAATATGTTTTTTAAACCACCTCCTTGATCTAACACTTAAATTGCCGACATTGTCCAAATTAGTGTAATTTTTTTTTTCCTGTAACGTCACTTGGTTCTTGGCTACTAACCTTTCATGTTACTCTTGGATTTGTCAGTTTGCTTGCCTGTGGGGGTTTGGGCCTGCTGCCCCTGCCCACTGGAAGAGGCTGCCTGCTGTGCTGCTTTCTGCTTTAACATTGTCCAGTCGAATGTGTAGTCATATTGGTGGTTCAAGGTCCTAAAAAAGAGGGAAATATTTTACTGTAACACATCATGGCTTCCTTATTGCCAATACCAAGCCTTCCCTGAAATACCAGAACTAGAGGATAACTCTTTCTATAAGCTGCTTTAGAGATTATGAATGGTATAGAAATGCTAAGTATTAGTAACTTAAAGGGATTCTTGCACTAAGACCGAAAATCATCCAGCAGTGTTTCCTCACTGGTTACACAAAGGTCTGCACTTGGGGAAGCAGCTCTTCCTCCCAACCCACCTTACCTACTGCCTGCACTGAGTTTCTGAGCTTTTTTCAATATATGTAATTTTAAGGGAGAGACTGCAGTATTGTACATTGCTGAATAGAAACTGCTTTGGATCCCAGACACCTGGAGGGAGACTTGAGAGATCAGTACCAGCTCTTCTTTTGACAGATGCTCTTCACTCCATAAGGGTGAGTTTATGTTCTGGTTGCTCTAACAAGCTCAATGAAGCAGCACTATTCCTCTCCACTGAAATCCATCTCCTGGGCACCACTGCTAGTCCCACCACCAATTTCCAAACATAAAAAACCTTCAAACTTTTACAAGGGGTCAATTTTTTAAGCTACTTGTAACAGAATTTAAAGCATGGGCTCAACCATTAGTGGTTACATCACACAATGCAAAACCCAGAGAATCTTTTTCCTTTATGTTTAACATTGAATATTTAACACTGAACATATTTTTCAGGTCATTTAAACAGCTTTTCAAACTCTGAAAGAAAGGAGCAGAAGAACTCCCTACACTACACACATACAGAGCTGTTCTCTACAGTGCAAGTCCCACAGAGCAGTTCCCAACTATTAAAGCCCTGACAGATTTCTGTACTTTTCCACCTTGAGACTGACCTGAAAAGAATACGGAATAATTGCCTCAGATACATGTAATCTGGTGCCTCTTCAAAGCGCAGGCCACGACAGTAGTTCAGATACATGGCAAATTCTGCAGGGAATCCCTGTAAATCAACAGTGTTAATCAAGCCATGGCTTGCAGCAAAAAGCTTCTACCAACCCTATAAGAAGGCAAAAAGATGTGCTTCTTTCTATAACAGCAGAGACAAACTGGTTGAAAATCTGTAAATTAATACCACCTTGCCCCTAGTTATTAATTTAATTCTGTATTTCAGAAAGTGGATTTGATCAGCAAGACCCCCAGGTACACATTCCTTCCCCAGAATTGTTACCTGATGCATGTTTTGCAATCACAACTTCTCTGCTATCAAAACCTTCAACATACTTACTTATAAAGCACTTAGTTCATCCTAATTAAACCTTGTTCTTGTTAACGAAGTCTCTAAAATAATAAGAGGCAATTGCCTCTTAAGAGATTCCAGTCACTTCCTTGATAATCTACCTGAGCACACTAGAGGCAAGATCAGTTAATGGTACTAAGTGTGAAAACTTAAATCATTAAAACCTTTTTCAAAGATTTCCTGTCTTACATTTTTATACATTTAATGCTATATTAAAGCCTACCCGAAAACAGGTAATAGGATGTAAAGAAAATATAGGGTATAGCATCCCTGGAAGTGTTTAAGGCCAGTTTGGAAGGGGCTTAGAACAACCTGGCCTAGTGGAAGGTGTCCCTGTCCCAGCAGCGGGGTGGAAGAAAGTGATCTTTAAGGTGCCTTCCAACCCAAACCATTCTATGATTCTATGAACAGTTCAATGCTCTGAAAGATACTGTCAGACTAAGGGTATAGATATGTGCAGAAGTAGAAAGTGCAATCCCTGGTGCTGCTGTTTGATGTGCAGAAACTACCTCATGTTCTCAAGGACCTTTGTTAACAAGCACGTAGCTGCCACAGTGCAAGAGAAATCTGAAGACCCAAAGGACAATACTGGAAAAACATCTTTCTGCAGCAGGGCTCTAAAAGCTCACTTGCATCCAATTCCACTAAAGCCTCTACCTAAGTTAGAGTAGACAATATGAACAATCCTGAGGCAGAAACAAGTGTATGTGGGCAAGCCAGACAGCTCCACCTTGGTTATTTATTTACTTCTACACGTAAAGCTTCCACTGTAGAAGGTGAAGAACTGAACAAGCCTGACTTAAGAGAGCTGGACAGCTTGCACAGCCAGCAAGACCTGAATGATGGTGGCACAAACTATGCCAAGAAGTGGCAGCAAATGCCTGCCCTGTTACACATATTCACAGTCTAGCTGGGTGGCCAAACACAAGGCACCCAGTGCCTGCCAGAGAATATTATTCAGCAGCAAATGCCATGTGAGACTATCTAATACTTTGGCTTTAGTTTAGAAAAAATCCACAAACAACAAAACAAACAATAAAGGAATTTCCATTTCACAGTATGACATCACTTGGAAACTCTTACCTTACACAAAACCTCAACAGGAGTGGACATTTTCTTTTCACTAATCTTTTCATACTTTTGCTTCTTTGTTGCAGCCTGTGGAACATGTAGGTCACAATATAAGAGATATTGTGCAACACTGGATTAACAAGGACAGCAGTAAAAAAAAAAAAAATGACAAAAATCCTTTGGTCAACCATAAGTATTTTATGTGAAATCTCCAAGTCCCACACACTTATTGCAAAGAGAATGAAGGTCAATCTGGTATTAAGATTTGGACACAGTTTAATACCATTTGTCGCAGTCTAATGCTTCCATCACATGGCACAGCTCGTGTAGTTCTAGCTGCTGCTTTTGTCCATTAAACAGACCAGACTTGCATTTACATTTGCCAAATTTGTATTAATTCCCACTCAGTGCCCCATTCAGGGCTGCCTGGTGTTTCAGTAAGCACCCGTTACATTCATTTGCAGCTGAAGAGTTCCAGTGTCTCACAAGCTGCTGCCTTTTTAGAAAACTTGCAGCTGCAACACCACTGGAGCTACAAAACTCTCATATGGAGGAAGAAAAACAATTAGAACGAGGAAATAAATCACTGAGGTCTATATAACAGAAATATCTGCCATGTATGTAGTTGGCTCCCATACATGAAAATACTGGAGCAAGCCTGTTGCAGCCAATAATCACTCAGTGGTGCCATAACCTGGACTGAAGATACCATTGAGGTTGAACTTGCCACGCAAGAAATTATTTCCATGCACTCTACAGCAATTCAAAAAGCCACTAACAAATGTTATTTTCTATTTCCCAGAAGGGCCTCAGACTACAACAGGACAATAATAATTGGCAAAGATGACGTAAGTTATTGTTTAGCATAAGTTTTGAGACAATCAAACAATGCACATTTTGCCTGCTGCGCAAGAGGCAGAATCCACATTCTATAAATATCATGCTTTGGGAAAAGCTGCTTTGTATAACTGAAGCTAAACATTATATAAACCCACCTATCCTGATCAGCAGACAGAAGCATGATACCCAAACATGAAAAAAAAATAAAAATCAAAAAGGCAGGGTGGGGGGAGAAAAAAAAAAAGCAACACAACCTACCTTTAATCCTTGCCAAGGCAGACTGGTTCTGTTAAAGTACATCAATACATAGCCTAGAGACTCCATGTCATCCCGACGACTGCAGAAAAGAGGAAAAACACAATGAATTACAAATTCTGGCATTTCACACTTTATTCCAAATAGTGCAAGCGCTCAAAAATTTAAATTAAAAAATAATTGAGGGATAAAATCTAAGCTTTGATGCAAAGGTCTCTTTCTAGTACAGCTAAAGCACTGATGTGCTCACGATTCCACTGTAAAAAGTCTTCCCCAGCAGAAGGGGATCCTATTCATTTTTCAAGCAAGGAATACTCAGTAAGTATTGTGTGTTCTTTTCATCTGCAGTTACATTAATTTGGGAAAGAAAAACTTTGGAAAATTAAAGAAAAAGAAACATTAAATGTCTTTCCTGTTTTATAAAGTAGCTTGGATAGAAATGGAAGTTTTTCTTGTAGGAACCATGGAATGCATTACTTCCTTAATGAAGATTTTTCCCTGAACCTTGCCTCAGTCTGGGATCAATTCTGAACATCCAACCCCAAAAGGGGGCTCCTTCCTTCACTTCTGTGAAAAAACTCTGAATTTTCTGTTTGTTTGTTTGGGGTTTTTTGTTTGTTGTTTTTTTTAAAAAAAACAAGCAATATTGAAAGTGCATGCATCAATCTGAGAGGTGCCTCTGCTTTCTTCCCATAAGAGGGCTGTTTTGGGGCAGTTGGAGAACTCCAAAGTGACCCATCCAGAGACTTCACTGAGAACTTGCACACCAACTCTCATGTAAAGGCTTCAAATGTTTTCTGCACATGTTCCAGATCCCCACGTCAGCCCCGTGAACACCACTGTACTTTGCTACACAGCTTTCATGAGTGCTAAGACTAGTACAGTTCACTGAAGTGGAAAACACACTCCATGACTTTTTTCCCTCTTGGCAAAGTTGCCTCTTCCCAGCTGTGGTAAAATCAGATTCCTCCTGACTGCCCCTCTGCAGCTGACATCTATTTAACATGAGACAGAAAAATAACTTATTTTTCTCCTCCCAGCTCCCTTATGGAGAGAATCTGGTGGATATTGCTGCTGCTCTGCCATCCAGATCTGCAATAAAAGGATTTAAATGGTGAGTCAACTCTCTAACCCTTTGGGGAACGAGTTCAGGAAGCTATCCCAGAAGATCACCTTGGCTCTCTAAAGCTTTTATCACAAGGCAAAAAAAACACTAATGGGTCAGGGAAGAGAGGATTGGTTCTCTCCCCTCGACAGCAGCTTGCTCTGAGATCATCTCAGCTGCAACATGAAACCACAGACAAAGACAGAGGGACGAAAAATTATACTGAGACCACAAACTCCAGCCTGCAAAACTTGCTAATTCTACTAGAATTGCAGATTTTAATCATCAACAGGATTCATGG